ATTTTTTGGTGATCAATTCTTTTGGGGATCAGTAATTAGTAAAAGTGGTGCTGGTCCACCACCAATACCTGGTAAACGTTTAAATATTCATGATTTAACCGAAGCATTTAAAATTGCACATGAATCAGATACACGTGAAGCTGCTTACAAATTAAGTGTTGCATTTCAACATGAAAATGGTTGTGAAAATGCTGTTCGATCATTTCATGCAAATTTACCATTAAGTAAAATGTATAGTGATCTTGAATCATCATTTAGTGCATGTTTTCGATTAAATGATTATAATTTACAAATATCACGTCCAGTTGCACAAGTACTTGTTGCTGCTGAAGCTATTAAAGAATCTCAATTAACATTACTTGCTACTCGTGATTGGAGTACATCAATGTATGATGATCGTCCACATATACTAATGCATGGTTTTCTAAAACATGGACATAAAGCTCTTCAAAATTTATTTATTGATACTCCACAAGGTTTAAGAAAAGCAGCTAATTCAACGAGTATAACAACAGGTACACTTGATGGTACAGAATGCATTATTAAAGGTATTGGAAGAAGTATTGGACATGTATATGTTGGTTGTTTATCATTTTATGGTGAAATAACAGATGTACTTGAATATTTACCTGAATTATATGATCCATATTCAGATTCAGATAAACGTAAAAGACCACAGATTAAAAATTTTAGTTCTGGTGCAAAAGCTGCTGAACTTTCTATATGGCATGGATTTAAAGATGGTATTACTGGAATTGTGACTAAACCTCGAACAGGTTATAAAAGACATGGTATTTTAGGTGGTGCAGCAGGTGCAGCTGCTGCTATACCAAATATTGTTATTAAACCTACTGTTGGTACACTTGCTTCATTAACTTGGTTAGGTCGAGGTATATATGCTGGAACTAGAAGATTATCACGGAATAAACGTGCAAATTCAAATAATCAATTAACAGTATTAAATACACCTCGATCTAAACGAGCATTATCTGAATCAAGGATTTTAATTGACAATACATCACCTGAAGGTTGTGCATCATTGAAATCAGGTTTAAGAATTGATATATGTAAAAAAATATTACATGACTTCGAAAGAATTAAAAATCGATATACTTCGAAAAATGCTAATGAAAATTCAAAAGAAACAAAGAAAACAAAATCAAAAAAAATATTTCAACGTCAACGTAGTCATTCAGCAACACATCATTAACTCGATCTTGTTTCTTTTTTTTTTTTGTTGTTGTTTGTTAATCAATAGAAGATCCCCCATATTTGTTGTTTTGTATTGTATTTCATCTAACCTAATGTGCAGATAAAAAAAAAAATTTATGTGTTGAAATCACGTATATGTACACATTTATAATGTTGTAACATGTTCATTATTTATGAATAAATACAGATCATTTCTTTAAAATTTTTAATATTCATTTTTGGATCGATTTCGATAACAGACTCTCGAAAAAAAAATGCAGCCGGATTTTAGAGCGTAAATTTGCCATCTCCTTAGATTCCATTTTCAATAAATCAGAAAGATGATAGAACATGAAATTCTAGATATTTCTGTGTATTTGTTTATGTGTTTAGTTAACTATGGTAACCATAATTTTTTTGCTTTTGTAGACTCAATATTAAAGATAATATCGTATATCAAGATCATTTTTTAATGTTCTACAAAATGATGAAATGATTGTGCTTATTGATTAAGTTTATATAAAGTTATAAAGGTAAGATTGATGCAACTGTCATATCACATAAACGAATTTTCATACATTTGTAAAATACTATTGTATTAAAGAATCAAATTGCTATACCGATTCACATTCTATCAATCTAAATCGTTTTCAGAAAAATCTATTTTGTCCTAAGACTCATTCTTATTGAAACATTTTAAGGTAGTGACCATTTTAGGAATACTATAAAGTCGACGTTGACTATTTTCTACTAAATCTTCATTAAATTTCAATTTCAGAACAAAATAAATACGATATTTAGAACAAGCACAATAGAACACGTTATATTATATAAATTTCAACAAAAATAATTTTATACGATAAATGCATTTCGGGAAGGTCACAGTCGAAATTTGAGACAAGCTCTCCTGAAAGGAGATCACATCGACTTTCCTATGACAAAATTATTTTTGCTAAAATATATGTGATATAACGTATTCTTTTTTGCTGATTCCGAATATAGTATTCATTTTACTCTGAAATCGAAATTTGATGAAAATTTAATAGAAAAAATAATTAACATTGACTTTTATAGTATTCCTAAAATGGTCACTCCCTAACAATGTTTCAATAAGAATGGATCTTAGAATAAAACAGATTTTTCTGAAAACGATTTAAATTGATAGACCATGAAACGGCACAGTTTTTAATCATTCAGGTTTCTAATTGCAATTCATAATTCGTCTATACGATATGAGACTTGCATCAATTTTACCTTTGAAGCTTTACATAAACTTAATCGAAAAAGCATAATCATTTCATCATTTTATAGAACATTAAAAATGATCTTGATATACGATATTATTTTTTCATATTGAGTCTACAAAAGAAAGGATTATGGTTACCATAGTTAACTAAAAACATAAACAAATACACAGAAATATCTAGAATTTCATGTTCTATCATCGTTTTTTACCTATTGAAAATGGCATCGAAGAACGTGACAAATTTACTCTCTAACCCGGCAGTGTTCTTTCTATGCTTTTAAATTTTATATTTTTACGAAGATAAAAATTTTAAATTTAATTTTCTAACATAAAAATATTGATAGATCCTATAGATTTTTATTTAAACATTTTGTACGAAGTCAAAAAACTTACTATAGAATTTTTCTCTATCGATAGCAGAGCTTCTATTTTGTTTTTGCACATAAATGATTGAATTATGACTTTCATGTTGCCAATAGAGACAGAATAATTCTCATATATTTAATCGATGTGTACGATTGATTTTATTTGCTAAAGAAACGGATCAAGATGCAATATAGACATAATATAACTGTCACATGATTTATTATGAATTTCTCATATATGATTTTTTCTAAATGAAATAGTATACATATTAACTTGAATACTTAACAATATTTTCTTTGATAAGAATATTTACTCATGATTCACTATTACGTACTCAAGACAAGGAATGTCTGATGACGAAACATGTGCGTATATAAATATATTCATGTACACTACACTATGGACAATAAAAAGTAAGAAGTTCAAAGAACAAAGAAAAAAGAAAAAAAACGAAAGTAACATTATTTTACAATTGTATTTCTTTTTCTAAGCAAATAAAAAGTAAGAAGCAAGCAAGAATATATACGATGAAACAATTCATTGGTTGTTTAGTTATTTGAATAAAACATAAAAAGATAAATACTTTTGTTATTTTTTTTTGTTTTGTTTTTGCATATATTAATTAAATAATATAAAACAAAAGAAGAAATGTTTAATAATGATACGAATAATGTAACAACTACTATTAATTTTGATAATGATTGGAGATATACTCGTTTGTCAAATACATCTTCATATGATAATGAATTTATTTTATTTTCATATAATGATCAACATTGGACACAAATTCAATTACCACATTATGATAATAAAAAATCACAAAAATTTACTTCAACATGTGTTTCATATTGGTATAGAAAACGATTTAATTTAGATCAAATAGTTGATAAAGATCAACATATTTATTTATCTTTTGAATTCATATCTAAAAATAAGAAACAAAATAATAATGAATTAGATATAAAAATACCTGCTATAACAATATGGTTAAATGAAAATGAAATTTTTTCTGATACATTTTCACAACCAATTAGTTTAACAAAATATTTAAAATATGATAAAGAAAATTTACTTGTTATTTATTCTAAATATGGATATCGACTTTTTTTACATGCACAGTTACTTTTACAACATCATTTATCTGGTCATATTAATCTTGATGAACTTGAAGAAAATGTAACACATCAAGAACAAAGTAAAACACTTGATTATATGGCAAGTTTTGATGATTCCGATGGGCTTATTACTGTTTTTATTCATGCATTAACGAAATACGTTGACAATAATAATATTGATATTAACGATTATAAAAATCGAAATTTTCATGATGAAAATAAAACATTAAATAATATTAAAAATAATGAAAATGCTGAAATGGCACTTATAATAAAAGGTCCAATACCTCGTCTTGCTATTTTAATGCTTATTGTTGGTACACG